TTTGTTTTTTAGTTCTTTATTAAGGAAAGAGCTTTTAAAGAACAATGACTAGCCCTGGCTGGTTTGGTTCAGCGGTTAGAGCATCGACCTGCGGACCAAAGAGCTGCGAGTTCGATTCTGGTCAAGGGTACATACCTCGGTTTCGGTTCCATCAGGGTCATGTGGCAGGCAACCAATTGATGTGTCTTCTCACGTAGTTGTTTCTCTGTCTCTCTCTCCCCCTCCCCCCCTCTCTCCCCCCACCCCTCTCTCTCCCCCATTTCCCTCTCCCCCTCCCACTCTATCTGAAGATAAATGGGGAAAAAGTATCCACGGGTGAGGATTTAAAAAAACACACACACACAAAAAAACTGGTGACTGTTTCCTACCCCAGAGCTACAGAATCAAAGCTGTGGAAGTGTATTTCATGTATATATGTATTTAAGCTCATGGTAGATTCTCATATGACAGAAATCACCTCTGGCTGTGAATCAGCCAGATGGACCAGTTCCTAAATCCTGAAGGAAACAATTCTAGGAGATTTCAAGTCAAATCTCCAGCTTTATTCCTGTTTAGTTCTGGATAATAAATGAAATGAACAAGTTTTTAAATTATGTCATATCATTTTTTTAAAAATATTTGTATTGATTTTTGTGGAGAAAAAGATAGAAACATCAATATGAGAGAGAAACATCAATTGGCTGCCTCCTGCACACCCCACACTGGGGATCAAGCCTGCAACCTGAGCATGTGCCCTGACCGGGAATCAAACAGGGACCTCTCAGTCCATAAGATGACACTCAATCCACTGAGCCACATAGGCCAGGCTGTTTTGTTATTTTTTGCTATGCCATATGTAATGACTCATTCTGGAATTTAGATGTGGGGGAAGGGAAATGACATTGAATTGTTTTCTTTAACTTCTTTTCTCCTATTGATTGTTTTAGTTTCATAGATCTTTGAAATATGAACTGTTTGATTCAGTTTGGTTCATTTAATTTTGCTACATGTATGTATAGTGAGAGAGAATGAGCTATATTTTGTTCATACATCCTTGCTATAAACTTTTAACATGGTAAACAGATGCAGTTGAAAAAAGTATATGATTTTGTGTTGTATTTTTCATCTTTGGTTATTCTGGATAAAAAACAAGCTAAACAGTCATTTAACTGGTGAAAATTACTGTAAAACAACTATTTAAACTCTGGAAATAGTTACTCTTAAGAGCATATAGCAAACGGAGAATCATTTATATTTTTAAAATCTATTAAATCTCAGTAAGAACAGGAATCTGTGGCATTTGAACCGTGATTCATTACCACCCACTTCCCTGAGCTGAGCTTGAGCGAAGCTCTTCTCTAAGTAGGAGGGGCAGACTGGGGACATTTCTCATATACTTTCTAGCTTCTTGTTGCAGATGCTTCCTTCTAGGGCTCCCTTTCAGCACTTAGCCTTTGCTTAGAGTGAAAGTTTATTCTAGGTGCAGCTGGCCAAGAATACTGAGTCCCAGTTGCCCTGGCCCATGCCTTATTCATAAGGCAAAAGTTCCATGCCAGGTGGGACAAGTCATCCAGCACCCTCACTCATGGAGCACAGATCTCTCAGATAAGTGAGACACTGCTTTTTCTAAAGGGTGAGGCAGGCCTTAAGAACAGAAAACCCTGGCTGGTTTGGGTCAACAGTTAGAATGTCAGCCTGCAGACCAGAGAGTCCCAGGTTCAGTTCTTGCTAAGGGCGTGTACCTCGGTTGCAGTTTGTCCCTGGCCTCAGTTGGGGTTGTGTGGGTGGCAACCATGATGTGTCTCTCTCACATCCATGTTTCTCTCTCTCTCTCTCTCTCTCTCTCTCTCTCTTTCTCTCTCTCCCTCTCTCCCTCCCGCTCTATCTGAAGATAAATGCAAAAAATGTCCTCGGGTGAGGATTAAAAAAAGAACAGAAAACCCTGTATCTTTCCCAAGGGAACTGACATTATTTTTAATAGTGCTAGCAAAAAAATGTTGTTGAAAATTTTTGAGGTGAACAATTAAGAGGATGCTGGTAGTTCCACATCGCTAGAGTAACAAGTGAAATACAGACAAGTTGAACATTGAACAGAGTCAGAAGTTAAGAAAGTTCAGTTTACAGTAATATCCAAAAGAATAAAATACTTAGGAATAAATTTAACAGTGTAAGACTTGTACATTATAAATTATAAAACATTGAAAGAAATTAAAGAAGATTTAAGTGCAGTAAATGGGAAAACATCCCATGTTCATGGATTGGAAGACTTAATATTATGAAGATGGCATTACTCCCCAAAATAATCTGTAGAGTCATGTGCATTCCATCAAACATCTCCCTCCCTCAAGCTTGATCCTAAAATTCATATGAAAATTCAAGGGACCCTGAATAGCCAAAACAATCTTTAAAAGAACAAATTGGGAGGATTCACACTGTGCAATTTCAAAACTTAATACAAAATGACAATTATCAGCGTAGTGTGTTACTGGCATAAGGATAGATAGATATATAGATCAATGGAATAGAATTAGATGTCCAGAAGTAATTTTTCACAAAGGAAACTGGACCCCTTTCTTGTACCTGAAACAAAATTTTACTCAATGGATCATAAACCTAAAATTAAGAAAAGTAAATCCCCAAACTGTAAAACTTCTAGAAGAAAACATAGTATACCTTCATGGCCTTGGTTTCACCACTAGGTTTTCAGATATAATACCAAAAGCACAAATGATAAAAGAATGTAGATAAATTGTAATTCATTAAAATTAAAAACTTGTATTGCCAACAGTAGCATCAGTGAAATGTTAGAAAGCTCACAGATAGGAGAAAATATTTTCAAATCATATATCTGATAATAGAGTTGTATCCAGAATATGTCAAGAATTCTTACAACTCATCAATAAACAAGTAAATAGCCCTATTCTGACTGAATTGACTGAAAGTAGGACTACAGAGTTAATTTTAAGTGAAGTTTATACCATGTAATGTCTGTTTTTTGAAAATCAGTAAACAATGAAATGACATCAACAGTTGTTGATTAACTATTTAGTTAATACAGACATACCTTTTTTTATTGCACTTTGCTTTATTGTAGTTTATTGATGTTGCATTTTTGACAAATTGAAGGCAAGGCCCTCTACCAACACAAAGATTACAATTTACTTTATTGTGGTTTGGAACCAAACTTGTAATATCTCCAAGGTATGCCTGTACCTGTCCCTAATACCTTTTATTTTATTATTATTTTTTAAATTCTCACCTGAGGATATTTTTACATTTATCTTCAGACAGAGTGGGAGGGAGAGAGAGAAACATCAATTGGTTGCTACCCACACCACCCCACTGGGGCCGGGGACTAACCGCAACCGAGATATGTGCCCTTGGCCAGAATCGAACCCGGGAATTCTTGGTCCGCAGGCCTATGCTCTAACTGCTGAACTAAACCAACCAGGGCCCCAATACCTTTTAGATATTAAATCTATATCAAACTTGAATGTGATTCATTTTTTAAAACATGTTTTTTAATTTATATTTGTTACAGATGTTTCTCCTTTTTTTCTCAATTGTGATTCACTTCTAAGTCACTTTCTTAGTAATTTTTTTAGTCCATGAGAGAGAATGTTGGGAAATGCAATTATAATAAAGGTTTTTGTAATGATTTATAACACTTAAGATATTTTGTTTAAACAGTTTAAAACAATGTGGCAAACGTAGCATGTCTTTTATGGAAATGTAGAGGGATTGTTGTTTAAGTTTGAGTATGCAAAAGAGTTTTTCATATTAAAGTACTTGTTTATAGTATGTAATTGATGCTAAATATGCCTTTGCAAAATACAGTATTTTGTTTGTGCTGTTGACACAACTTGGGTGATGGGGAAATCAGAGAGAGCTGGTTGCAAAATACCACTGGATGTATTTTAAATCTCTGAGAAAATTGTTTGTGAATTATAACATGCCTTCAGTGTCTTGTTTGACATTGTGCCAAGGTATTTCCCCATTTTCTTTTTTAGAGCACTTAAAATTTTTTCGTTATATAACTAAATGCATGTGTTGCTACACTGCGGTAATTTGAAGTAAATTGCATTCACTGGAACTTAGGAATAGTACTTAGAAGATGTACTTTATTTTTCTTTATGCTCTTTTTTCTATTATCATAGTTTCCTTTTTATTTATTAGCTACAAGAGAGGAAGTTCAAAACATTGTTAACTTATACCAGTGCTCCTGCAGTCTGAGAGCAGGCTCTGAGAGTCTCTGGGATGAGTCTAGAGCAGCATTTTGAAACTTTTGATCAGGTCCCACATTTTCATATTGCAAATGTGTTCAGGCATATATATGATACTGAAATGTTTCCCCTTAAAACATGTGATGCGCTCTATTTTTCCATTCTTTTTTTTTCTAGTGCTAGTTTTAACCTGTTAATTTTACAACCAATTAAAGATGTGAAAACTACAGATTGTAAAATAGTACTCTAGGGACAGAATTGTGAATTCAGATACATTCTTTTTGAGTTTTCTCTCTTAATGGCCCATTACAAATGCTTGTTTTGTGTCTGGAGAAAACATCTTATACTAGGAGGGCAAAATGTTGTTCACAAATGAGACTTGGGGTTTAAGATATCGTTGTTTTTTGTTTTTTATTTTTTTTTTTTGCTGAGATGAGTTGTCTGTGAACTATTGCTATAGTATGCATATTAAGAACCGATATATGTACTTGAATGCTCAAGGAAATTTTCCCTTTAATAATTATAGGTTACTCTAATTAAACTATAATTTCCTCAATTGCTTAGAGTAAGCTTTAAACAAAACTCATAATTAAAAAAACATGGATAAAAATCACTCGAAGTATATTTTTATATTCACTTTACATTTATACTTTTGTGGAGATAAACTTTATCCTGATTTGAATTGTATTAATCTGCTTTGTCTTATCTGTTGTTAATATTTGTCTTTTTTGCATATATGCTTTTGCTATTGAATGGGGAAAGATACTTGTGCAAATATTTCACCAAATATTTTTGCAGGGACACTTAGTCGGTCTGGATGAACCAGCTTCGGGAGCTGGGCAGGAAGCTCTGCTTAAACAAGAGCAAGCAAAAATCATTCGATTCGAGAGACAAGCAGAAGAGTTCCTCAATGCAGTCTTTTATAGAAAAGGTTGGTTCCAGTTAAGAATGACATTTAGCATCTGCTTGTCTTGTATTAATCTTCTTAATTTCAGTGTCATTTTTAAAAGGAGTTACTTTTCAAAATATTTTTCTTTATTGATAATACACTATAATTCTCTGTTTCTTTGATCAAGTTAAATTTGAAACAGGGTAAGGCAGCTCACTTCTTTCTTTTACTCTGAAGTGATGGTGCCATGTAAGTTTTAGTTAAATAATTCTTAAAATTATTGTGAAAGTCTGAAAATTGTAGGGTTTCGGTAGTTCTATATATTGTTAGTCAGATTTTTCTCACATAAATAGTTACTGTTTTTATCACTGATAACCATAAAACTAAAATTTAAGTCATTTCTCACTGAAATATTTGCAGAGAAAAATATAAAGTTATAGCTTAAAACTAGATTTGCAAACAGTTTTTCTCCTTGATACAGTCTTATTTCACTAAATTTTTTAAATTATTAAAATTAGAGAAAGAAATTATTATAAAGTAAAATTTTCCCCATACATTTGAGGTGGCATTTAATAGCTTCACCTCTTTTGTTTCTCAATTTATCTTTCTCCTTGAAACTTTTGTAGGCTTGTTTTACGTTTCTCTATCCTCAAAGCATAATTGCTGCCAGCCAAGACCTTTAGGAAGCTTCCATTCGTGATCTATTTTAGTGAAGAGTCTTTACCTTCAAGATGCTCTTTCAAAATAGATTTGTAATCTTCAGCAGACTCAGTGATTCCGTTTTCTGTAATATTTCTTCCGTGTTCTATTTTTCACCTCATTCCTCAGGAAATTCCCTTCTTCTCTTTGAAGTTTGAAAGCTGATGTTTGCCAAATACACTGGCTAAAAGTCTGATAAGTCCTGATTCTAATGAGTTGGTTACAGTTTGAAACCAGCTGGGCTTCTGTGGAATGTAATCAGTATTTCCAAAAGGGAGTATGAGGTAAAGTGTAACAGAAAATTAAGGAATGAAGAAAAGAAAGGACAGATGGAAGAAAAGAGAGAAAGAAAAAGGAATGCACAAGATTATTGTTTTCAGTGGCATTTAAAAAAATTTCTTATGTCAGTTCCCTAGACAAAATTAAATCTTTAGTACATCCTCACTTCTCTTTTAATAATACTCACTTGCACTTTCTGACCTAAAGCTCCCAACTGAGGCTCTTGGCACTCACCTTTTGTCTAAATAAAGTACCCTGAATTACAAAATAGTAATATTCTTAGTTCATTTTATGAACATTTGATTAAAATAATTCACATTTAACATATAAATGACTACTGGTTCTGTCAGTTTATTAACTAAATAAAATACTTGACAGTTCCTCTGCTATGAACTGAATCATGGGTCTAATGCCGCAGCAAACGTCATCATCTGAAAAGAGGAACTCCTTTCCCTAATGTACATAGAGGAACCACTTTAAAAAAAAAAAAATAGAGTTTTTATTGATTTTTTTAGATAGAGAGAAAGGGAGAAGGAAGAAGGAGAGAGAGAAATATCCATCAGCTGCCTCCTGCATGCCCCCTACTGGTGATCAAGCCTGCCACCCAGGTATGTGCCCTTACAGGGAATTGAACCAGCAACCTCTCAGTCCATGAGATGACGCTCAATGCACTGAGCCATACTAGCTGGGCAGAGGAACTACTTTTCATCCACTCTTTGCTTAGAGGGAGTTAGCTTACTTTTCTACTAGTCCCAATTTTTTGTCATGTAGGGATAACTTACAATGAAGTACTTATAATTTTATTTAGAAATTAAACTTTGGGGAACATAACCTTTAGGGAGGAATTGTTACCTTGGAATCAGCCTTAGAATAACAGGAGATGAGAATGCCTTGAATTTGTATGTAAAATTAAGTTTTTTGTATTTGTATACTGGCATATGATGCTCGGAAAAAGAACTATTACTTTGCAATTGGAAGTTCCTTCCACCTTGCTTTATGTATTACTATTGTTATTTTTAGATGTTTTATTCTCTTAGAAATGTCTTAAAGATGAGCATTAGTAGTCTTCACATTAATATCTAAAATGTTTATTCAGAGATATGTCAGGCAATTTAGTCTGAAGAGAATATTTTGTTTTTAATAAATAATTTACATATTTGGATTTAGTCCTTTGTTTTCAAGTATTGCAAATTGTATGGTATAAATAATTGACACGAAAGGGTTATCTCACTAGATAGAAACATTAATGCAATAAAAGCAGGCTTTTGTGGTATGGACTTTGTCACGATCGTATTTCTTTTCCCCTTGTTTTGTCGTTTGTGTTAAGGAAATCTGACACTTCTGAAAGTTAGATTTCCATTTTTAAAACACACAGGTGGCTGTGAAGCAGCATTTACATGCTTTTCTGTAGTTTTCATTTTGTTTTGATTTGTTGTTTTTTATTTGACTCAATTGTGCAGGTTCCCTGAGGCATAGCTAGGTGTATAGATGTGTTTTAAGTAAGTGAAAGAATGAAAAGTGTTCAAGAAACTTTCAAAAGACATAGAAATTCAAATGGCAGTGATATCATCAATTCATAAACATGAATTGTGGTTTATGATTGTTATTCAACAAAAAGGCAAAAATATGGTGCAGCCATTTAAAGCTCAAAGGTAGCAATTTGTGTTTATCCTAAAACCTTTGACTTTTAACGAATCTCTCATTGCATTTATTAATCTAGTTAAACACAGAGACATCTCATAAATTACATTTTGCTTTCTATTTCAAAACTTCTTTATGTATTACATATTCTCCATCTTTCAGGGGAAAACAGATACACTAATACATTAAAACTTGAAATTATATACAGTCTTTTATTTGGAGGATTGTATGCTATATAAAAAATGGATCTTAAATGGAATGTTAAATGAATATTAAGAAAACTCATTCAGTAGAGGTTTTTAAAGTTATGTATGGCTAAAATATTTATTAAAACATTTAAGGATTACCAAGTTAATGATTGTATTAACTTTTGAATCTTACCTAATTGAGTACCTTTATTTCTACACCCTCTAGCATACTCATACTCTCTATTTATAGAGAGGAAACTTAGGGTGGGAAATACTTTTTGGTAGAAAAGAAATGTTGTTATTAATTAATAGAACAAACCTTGTTAAACTCCAGAGAATTAAATACAAATTTTGACTTTATAATCCTCTTCCGGTATTGAATATTGTGCTTCAGAAAAAAAATTATGCTTTTAGGAGTTTTATGAGGTTTTGAGAGAGGTGTGTGTGTGTGTGTGTGTGTGTGTGTGTGTGTTCTTTGTGACAATATTAGATTATAAGTAATGAGTCAGTTTTTTCTAAATCTGTAAATCAACCTAAGTTCCTTGCAGCTCCAAAATAGTATGGGTAAAGTAATTTATCTTTTATAATTAATCTTTAAAAGACCAAGGAAAAAGATTTTCTTAGTCCCATCGTCTAAAGCCCCAGAAGTGTGGTAGGGAAGTACAGATCACAGGTGGAACTTTATGATCAGGAGGGAGAGTTTTGTTTTTTTTTTATCCTCACCCTAGGACATTTTTCCATTTTTTGTTCAGGTAGAGTGTGGGAGGGAAAGAGAGGAACAGAGAGAGAGAGAGAAACATCGATGTGAAAGGAACACATCGAGTGGCTGCCACCCTCACGACTGACCAGAGCCGGGGACAAACTGCAACCGAGGTACGCGCCCTTAGCGGGAACCGAACCCGGGTCTCTCAGGACCGCAGGCCGACGCTTTAACCGCTGAGCCAAACCGGCCAGGGCAGGGGGGAGAGTTTTAATCAAGGGTCTACCACTAACCATCTATACAGATTTGAAGAGGCCACTTACTCTTTAGACCACATTTCCTTCATTTTTAAAAAAAAAACTATTGGATGGTAATTGATTTGATTGATCCATTTATTACTTAACTACTGTGAATGCATACTTTACAGCAGGCAATATTAAGTGCTGACTATACATTGGTAAACATAATCTCTGGGGAAGCTCAAACTTCCTGATGATGTGATAATGATAAAGGTGTGATGATAATACATTTCTACAAAACATTTTTCCTTTTGCTTTATCCCATTTGACCTTCAAGGTCTTTTTCCAGTACTGAAAATTGAGTTTATTTTTACATTAACATTGATTACAAATTGATAACTTAGATGTTTATTTTATTGCTTCTGTAGCTGTTGTGTTTAGTGGTTGGCAGAGTGTATTTAAATAACTCATGTTAAATATATGTGTGGTCTTAGCCTTTTGAGATTTGGCATTTAAACTTCTAGCCCAAGAGTTCTAAAGTGTGGTTCCTCCACTAGCAGTAATGAGAAATCTGTTAGAAATGCCTTGACCTCACCCTAGAACTGCTGAATCAGGACCCAGCAGTCTGTTTTTGTAAGCCCTCAAAATGATTCTGATGAATATTGAAGTGTGAGAATTATTGCCCTAGCTTATCATGGATCTTAGTATTAAGTCTCTCCTTTTATTTTATTTTTTTATCTTCGCCTGAGGACATCTTTTTTTTTGTTTTTTTGTTCAGATAGAGTGGGAGGGAGGGAGAGAGAGAGAGAGAGAGAGAGAGAGAGAGACATCGACATGAAAGGGACACATCAAGTGGTTGTCACCCACACGACCCAACCAGGGCCGGGGACAAACTGCAACTGAGGTACATGCCCTTAGCGAGAACCGAACCGGGTCTCTCTGGACCTCAGGCCAACACTCTAACCTCTGAGCCAAACCGGCCAGGGCAAGTCTCTCCTTTTATAATCTTGGTATGCCTTCAGTCTGTAACAGAAAGTAAATTAAATACTCATGAACTGAGTAATCTATTCTTCAGCAATTTAGAAAGAAATTGCTGAGGAGAACAACAGATATGGTCTATAGGTGGTAATAGGGGAGTAATTATTTAATAAAAGAAGTGTTTGGGAATTTCTGTATCAGGTAAGTGATTCTTGCCCAAAAGATGTACTATTTGTTATCCCTTTATTTGATTTCATAATCCTGGGAGGATGTTTAGAACTAATTTCATGAAAACTTTATTTTTTTAAATCTGCAGCTCATAAGCTTAGAGATTAAAAATATAAATATGAGGAAATGCTATTTTAGGATATTGCATTTTAAGAAAAAAAATAAAATGAAATTTTATGTTTGCTTGAAAGCTGTATTTTTTTAGTACATTGTCCCACTTTAAAAGTAAATAAATCTTTGTTTACAGACAGTCCCTGGGTCTCCGACCCCAATATTCCCCTAGTGGCCCGTGAGATCATGCAGCGAATGATCCAACAATTTGCTGCTGAATATACCTCAAAAAATAGCTCTACTCAGGACCCCAGCCAGCCCAATAGCACAAAGAACCAAAGCCTGCCGAAAGCATCTCCAGTCACCACCTCTCCCACGGCTGCAACTACTCAGAACCCTGTGCTCAGCAAACTTCTCATGGCTGACCAAGACTCACCTCTGGACCTTACTGTCAGAAAGTCTCAGTCAGAACCTAGCGAACAAGGTATGGTTTGATGTCAAGGTCTCCTCTGTCCAATCAGAATACTTTAAATTTGGGAGAAAAAACTAACTGGCAAGCAGGGCACCAGTAGCAATAATGGAATAAAAACTAATGTTGTTCTTAAATTATTGCTGACGCTGCAATGATAGAGAAGTTCAGATAGTGGCCACCTTATCAGTCAGTAGTCCACAGTCATGATTTATGTACCACCCAGAAAAGTTAGGTGGTTACAGTTGTTACTGATTTTTAAGTTACTTTATATAAGCATTTTGTACTTTCCAAAACATTGTCACATCCATTGTTTTTAAAACCCCTGTGAAAAATCAAGTTTTTCCCCTTATCCATCATTGTTCTAGGATTAGCACCTGAGAAGTAAACATGTTTTTATTGTTAGGTAAAAGAAGTTATACTCTACAAATGAGATCATAAGGCAAAAACTGTATTCTTTGCAGTTTTAAAAAAGAAGCTCTTAAGGTTAGAAATAATGAAAAACCAGTAGACACACCGGTTGTTAGTTGTATTCTTTATTTTATAAATACACAAAAACATGCATTCATACATGCACTGTATTGTGAACTAACCTACAAGTATTTCCAGATAATTTCTTGGTGAGGATCCTCATTAAGTAGTAAGTTAAGAATTTACTGATTTTGCTTAGCAAATATTTCTTGAGTCTTTGAAAAGTTTACTTTCTTCAGTAGATTAAATATTTCTATTGCTTTGTGATCTCATTTTACCTTTAATTTCACAAAGATGAAGTGAGCATTTCAACTCTTCCATTGTTTAAACAACTAAACATTTTAAATTGGTGATGTCTGTATGGACGAGATTTTGTCATAGAAATCTCATAAGAGTATGCAGAAAGGTTATCAGATGTGTGAATTTTATTGGTAAGAAATACACATTTATTTTGCAAAGTAAGTAAATGTAATTCTTTTATTTTTTTTTCTTTATTGATTTTAGAGAGAAAGGAAGTGAGAGGGAGAGAGAGAAATAGAAACATCAATGAGAAAAGAACATCGATTGGCTGCCCCCTGTTTGCCCCTCCCTGGGGATTGGGCCCACAACCTGGGCATGTATCCTGACCATGTGACCTTTGGTGTGTGGGTCGCCGCTCAACCACTGAGTACACCAGCCAGACTAAGTTTAATTCTTATAAAAACCTGTTTTAAAGGACTTTCTTTAGCTTACTGTAAATAATTTATGAAGGATTTGCATTTATTGGACTGGTTTTAGTTGCTTTTTAAAGAACTTTTAAAATAATTTTTCTTTGCTTTTTTTCTGTTTCTGTGTAGTGAATATCAATCAGAATGTGTAAGCTCTAAGAGATGTCCTAGCACATGACCTCATAGTTGATCTGTGTTCACGTTGATCAGTATACCTTTGATTACCATATTTGCAAAGTTGTTGTTTTTTTTTCTGTTTTATTGAGGATTTTTTTTTCTTTACCATATTGTTAGCTTTCATTAAAATCTCTTTGCTCAAAATATTGTACTAAAAGCTTCAGGTTTACAATGGAAGAATGACAGCATAGAGGTTGTAGTTAAAGTATTAATAATGGAGATTAATATACAAAGATACTACTTAATACTAGCTATAAGAAGGTAAGTTAGACTAAGCTTAAGAGTGTTGTTTTGACAACATGCACTTATGAAGAGAAATTTGAACTAGATAATAGGATTATAGTTTGCAGGCTTCATTTTAAGATTATATTTTCTAAATGAATTTGTGTTTTCACCTTATAATATTTTTAGTGATAGACTTAAAATATGTTGACTGTTTGATTATACAGACTTAGAGGTCTTTAAATAATACTGTTTGGTTGGCAATATTTTAATTAGTGTATTTGCTTGCTAGATGTGTAATAGGATACTTGGTTCTCTAAAATTGCACTTATATATTTAGAAATATAAGTGATTCTAAAAGGACAACACTTATTCTGTGTGAGTGTGGGCTTTTTTGGTTTATAAACTCAACTGCATATTTATTTCTAACAGCCTGAAATAGGGACAATGTCTTCAGTGGATTTCATATTGGGGCGATTTTTAGCATAACTAGATAGCAAAGCCTCTTTGCTGGCCAACTAAAAATCAGAGGCTCATTGAGTATTATCTTGCTCTGTTAATTTTGGACAGAATGATAACTTTAAAAGTTGTCCGGACTGCGAGTTTTATTTTCTAGGCATGTTTATAAAGGGAATAGAGTCTTTGTGGGAAAAGAAAGTTACCTAATTTTATGTTCTAGTAACATGAATTTGGGATTTGATCTAAGATGTTAAACCTCTAGGGTTCAGTCATCATCAAGACTGTTTTATTTTTTTTTTCTTTAAATTTTGCCCATCAATTTATAATAGCTTATCAACAAATAAACAAAAAAACTTTGCCCTTATAAATATCAGCAAGTGAATTTTGCATCTCTGCAGATATTTTCCAAAAGATTGACAAGTGTACAGTTTTTTACAGATGTCCAAAGCATAATTAAGATCATACACATTATAAAGTTAACAACTGATTCATCTTACACTTTCTCATATAGTATATATGTGTAATTTAACCATATAAACTTAAATTTTAAAATTATTTTTGTATTACTTAAAATTTCCTAAATCCGACTTTTATGTACTTTTAGTGCTTTGATAAAGTAAATTTAGAAAATGAAGTCTAATAATAGTTCTGTTGCTAAACCTCATACTGTGTAAACTGCTGTTTCTAGTATCTCACTGTATCTTAAGATTCTTTTGACCTATTAATAAAATATTTTACACTTGGTACTTGGTAATATTAGATATAACAAGCTTTGCTAAATTTATGTTACTTCAGGAGGAAAAGTATCCAGATTCTATTAATAAATTGATTTCATAACTCAAATGTATGATTAGTGTATCTGCTTAGTTGACTAGGTTTACCGCTTTGTCATTTTTGGTCTAGTCAGATCACATTTGCTCCTAGTTTTTAATATCCTTGGGTGTTTCTTTATATCTTTACAGACGGTGTACTTGATCTGTCCACTAAGAAAAGTCCATGTGCTGGCAGCACTTCCCTGAGCCATTCTCCAGGCTGCTCCAGTACTCAAGGGAACGGGTAAGAGAAAATATTTGTAGCCTTCCACAGTTGTATAGGGTAAAATTTGTCAAAGATTGATGCCAATTTCTTTTTTGTGTTTCAAAAATTAATCTTTCAGGGTAATATTCTTCTAGGTACACCTTTATTAACATTACTTTTAGTCTGTCAGTCAAGTAAAAGCACATTCTCTGAAATCTAGAATTGACTGGTATAGATCAATTGTGCCAGTTTAGTACAAATAGTAAATAATCAGAAATATAGCAAGAATGTCTTTGAACTTTTTGTTGTTGAGTATTTGGGAGTGTGAACCCCCAACCTAAATAATTTCAGAGTTCAGATGTAAAGGCTGAAGTTGTTGAATAAAAATTGGGTTCTAGTATTTAACTTGGTATCTGTAATGTAGTGTGTGGGTGTGTTTCGGCTGTTCGTTTTTTTCTTGTTTGTTTTGGTTTTGGTTTGTTGATTTGAACTGCAATTTTAATTCTGTGTGGCAGTTCAGAAAATCTAATTGTATTTTTGTTTCATAAGTAGATAAGACTGGTTGTAAATGTTGACAAATAACTATCTTATGCTGCCAAGACTTTATTATGTGCACAATTTTGATAACTATTTAGCATATTAAAGTGAATTTTCTGACCTCTTAATTTTACAGTGTAAGAATTGTTTAATTCTCCCTCTGTTTGTATATATTAACCATTTAGAGAAAAGTCAGGTATTAAGATACTTAGATGCCATATTGGGAAGACATTTCCATAAAACTGTGTTGTGACCAAAAATCAACTTGATCTAGATATGAAAAACAACTTCATTAAGTTATATTAGTTAATATTTAGGTTTATTTAACTTTTAGAATATCAAACATGGGGAGTTGTTTAGATGGTAAAGGAATAAGTAGCTACTAAATGAACTGACCATTTGAATTTACACTTGATTACCTACCTTTTAGATTGAAGGATTTGTTGTTTTTTTTACTGACTTCTAAAATGCGCCCTTTATTTTCTATAAAATTCCATCATTTTTCTCTTTCTCTCTTCTGTTCGGTCTAAAAAGAACTTATTTAATCCATTTTGCATAGTTTACTAATCTTTTCCCTTAAGCACTTCTTTTCACTTCATTTTATATGTACTAGATAGAAATTATCATGGTCCCAAGTCATTGGATTCCATTATATGTCAAAAAACTTGAGTTGTGTAATTCAGGACATATGTAGGAGAAGCCTAAGTGCGGTTTGCATAAATGAATCCCTTGCTTATGATTCACCTTAAACTTGGCCACCAGGTTTATGTACTATTATATGGTTGAAGTTGCTGTGTTTATCCCTCTGAATGGAAAGAGTATTCTACATGGTATTGTTTTCTGGAAGACGAAAGCACTAATAGTATTGCCCATCTTTTAGTTGAATATTCATTGTTCTTATGTTATTTACTGATGACAGCACACAATCCCTGTAGACTTTTGAAGAACATAGTTGGTTTATCATTATTTCTGCAAAGTTCCACTTTTGTGCCTACATAATGTAATTCCCCTTGGGCATACTTTACCAGTTGCCAGTTTTATCATCGATAATCTTTCTCTATTGTGAAAATTAAAACCTTATGAATTAACTTTATGTAAGTAGTTGACTTTTTAAACATTATTTAAAAGCTATTTACTGAAAATTTCAAAATTGATGTTTGGTATTTTAAGAAGAGAAATTTTTTATAAAGAAAACTACAAAAACTGCTTATATACTTGTGACGATTATTACTTTGACTAGAACTTAAGGAACAAAGTTTTGGGGAAAATAAAAGTGCATTTTTCTTGAAGCTTGAATGATTTCAAATGGAGAATCAGTGGTACTCATGTATCTGCAGTTAATAGTGTTTTAAAATGAAGAAGTGTGGTAAGTTATAATGTGATGGGTATTTTGGTTTGTTTTGGTTTGGGATCTTTTTCCCTCTTGGGGCTGGTAGTCATATTTTTGTCCCAAGCAAAATAAGAATGTTATTTGGAGTTGTTTGATTTTTTATAATGAACATCAACTTGTTTGTAGGGTAAATGAGCAATTATCTATAGGTTCCACCAATGTAAACAGTTCCAGTTTCATGACTGGTTGTAATGAATGTTGGATATGTTGCATTAAAATAAATAATTTGGCTTACTCTTTTATTACTGTACTTGTTTAGTGGTAACGTCACATTGGTAACACAATTCTGTGTAGATCTATGGAGACTTGATGATTACTTTGTAATTAATAATTAAGGTGCTATTTTCAGACAGTTGCGCGAAACTTTTTCTCCGAAAATTTGTGAACCCAACCAGAGACCAGCTGACAGGTTTAATTTTTCTTTGCCCAAAAAGCTCCTGTTTTTGTTTTGTTTTTGTTTTTTCCTTTTTCTTTTTTTGTGAACACGTTTTAAAACTAACTGCTGAGACTATTTTTTTTTAATTTTAGAGAAAAATAAATAAATAACACAAAGTGATGTTACCCAAGCAAGGCCTTCTAATAAAGGAGTGGTCCCCTCACCCATCCCTCCCTACCTGTGCAAGTCCTGCTCACATCAGTTTCCTTCCATCCAATTAGGCGACCTGGGAGACCCAGCCAGTACCGCCCAGACGGACTTCGGAGTGGTGATGGGGTACCTCCAAGAAGCTTACAGGATGGAACCAGGGAAGGTTTTGGACACTCCACATCACTCAAAGTTCCGTTGGCTCGATCCCTGCAGATTAGTGAAGAACTACTGAGCAGAAACCAATTGTCCACAGCTGCCAGCTTTGGGCCATCTGGATTACAGAATCATGGACAGCACTTAATATTATCCAGGGAAGCCTCTTGGGCAAAACCACATTATGAGTTCAACCTCAGCCGTATGAAGTTCAGGGGAAATGGTGCACTCAGCAACATCAGTGACCTTCCTTTTCTTGCAGAAAACTCTGCCTTTCCAAAAATGGCACTTCAAGCAAAACAGGATGGAAAAAAGGATGTGAGCCATTCATCTCCTGTAGATTTAAAGATACCACAAGTTCGAGGAATGGATCTTTCTTGGGAATCTCGCACTGGTGATCAGTACAGCTATAGCTCTTTGGTAATGGGTTCACAAACGGAGAGCGCGCTTAGTAAAAAATTGAGGGCTATTCTTCCAAAACAAAATAGAAAAAGCATGTTAGATGCTGGACCCGATTCTTGGGGCTCAGATGCTGAGCAGTCTACCTCTGGACAGCCATATCCCACATCGGATCAAGAAGGAGACCCTGGCTCCAAGCAGCCTCGGAAGAAAAGAGGGCGTTACAGACAGTACAACAGTGAGATACTGGAGGAAGCAATCTCAGTGGTTATGAGTGGAAAAATGAGTGTTTCCAAAGCTCAGAGTATTTATGGGATTCCCCACAGTACACTGGAGTACAAAGTAAAGGAGAGGCTGGGCACTTTGAAAAACCCTCCAAAGAAAAAGATGAAATTAATGAGGTCGGAGGGGCCAGATGTTTCTGTAAAGATTGAATTAGATCCCCAGGGAGAGGCAGCACAAAGTGCAAATGAATCAAAAAACGAGTAGGAATACTGTAGAGTGCCAATTACTGTACAAACTGGGTGAGCACTACTGCTATCATTGCTTGCACCTAACTTCATTTACTGTGACACTTGTTTCTTTGCAGATTTTGCATTGACTTGTGTGTACAGAGGTGAAAGGTGCATTCTGAATGTTGCATATTAAAATTTTTTCATGTGCGGTATGGCTCGGGATATTGTTTGGCCTTTTGCATGTTTCTCTACAAGAGAATTGAGTTACCTCACAGAGAACAGATAAATGGAAGTGGACTCCTTGCCTGTAGAGCCTGCATGCTTTTCTTTTAAGTTATATTTGCCTTTATTTAAAAAAGAAAAAGAAAAAAGCCCCCTTTTAGAAACCACCTCTGCATATTGGGAGCTTTATCACTGCAAATTGGAAAGCCACCTTTTAAAGTTATTCACATTTTTTATTCTACGATTCAACTAATTGAAGGATTAAACTAAAGAAAATCTCTTAGGAACATGAACCTTTGAATTTAAGAAATTTCTTTATTTGATGATAAATAATTATTTGAGTCAATTTACATTTTATGATTTTCTTCTCACTGTTAAATCTACTTAACAAAATAGCAATCTGTTTAGTGCTCACCCAGAGGGAAAGGAGGTGGAAAATGTGCACACACTACCTTCAGAAATGCTTCGGTTAATTACTTTGTAACACTACCTTTGCTGTAATTTCATTTGGGATTTTCTAAGGGTAGAATTTGGTCTCACCAACAAGTGAGGATATAGCCTTATCTCATGGAGGACGAGCTCCGTTCTTACTCAGGAGCAGTCAGGGTACATTACATAAAACAATAGAGGATGCCTCATTTTAGCAAACTCAGTTTCTTTGTATTCTTAAATCCTTTTATGGATTTGATCATGTGCTAACTAACAACTGAATGTCGTTGCAGCAACTAGTTTAAAATAAGATCTGTTTATTGGGGAATGGGAGAAATAGGAAAAGAAATGTGTATAAATAATTATAATATTGTGAAAGTGGTATCTAGATTTGACAGCCTCAGTAGTCTGCCCAAATATCCACATGAATGAAGGATCCATGTTTGTGGTGAGAGAAAAAACATAACCCCAACATAACCTAATATGATTTAGGTTGCATTTCAATTCTAATAATAATTCAATCAGAAATCAAGTTCATTAGAGTTTTTTTAAAAAACTAATCCAGATACTAGTATAAAGAGAGGGGTGTTGTTTTTTTTGCTTGCTTTAAATCTTTTTTTTTTTTTTTTGTGGCATCTTACATAATATCCCCTTTGTAACTTTTCCTGATATTTGCTTATTTTTATGGTTGTTTAGCACACAGTTCAGGACCTTTCAGATCACGTTTGTATAAGCACTCCTTGAAGAACAGCTAAGCTTTTTGCTTTTTTTTTAGATGGGCTTTTAAAATTAAACTAAATAAGTTGGGAACGTTTATTTTCCACAATTTTTCGCAAGAATAACTGGTAAATAAAGCCCATTAAATTTA